GCAGTGACTCTACAGTAGAAGATGTACAGTGACTCTAGAGTAGAAGATGAACAGTGACTCTACAGTCAATGGTGTACAGTGACTCTACAGTATAAGGTGTACAGTGACTCTACAGTATAAGATGTACAGTGACTCTACAGTAGAAGATGAACAGTGACTCTACAGTAGAAGATGTACAGTGACTCTAGAGTAGAAGATGAACAGTGACTCTACAGTAGGAGATGTACAGTAGAAACAGTAGAAATAATGGTAACATGTTAACACAAAGATGTGAAACCTTCGTCTCTCTCTGTTTTACAGCATTGTGTCTTTGGACCTGTCTCTCCTGCTCAGCTCTGCATTGATAGGTGGCCCGTGTTACCTTTTCAGGTTTGTCTGTCTGTCTGTCTGTCTGTCTGTCTGCTGGTCTGTCTGTCTGCCTGCCTGTCATCTGTTTGTCCCTATCCTTACCTTATTCAGTGTTTCCTGTCCTATCTCAGGTGCTGAATGAAGTCCATCCTTCGTTCTTCTCTTCACGGTTTTCTTCCAGATTCACTCTGCTGACAAACCTCAGACACAGTAAGACTTTTTTTCCATGATAGTTTCGTCATGTTCATTCGTTCAAACTCTGAGAAGTTGAACTCTGGTGATGTTTCAATGTCAGTATGTCTTCAGGAGTTCAGGAGTTCTTCTGCATTTTTAAAGGTAGTATAATGCCTTAAGTGTCTGCAGAGGGATCTGTGTGATGTCTGATCAATGTCATCATGTGATGTCATAGTCAGCACCAGTTAAAGCCCAGAAATCAGAGAGGTTATCAAATCTGTTAGAAAGAAGTGTTTACCAGACTCCTGTAGCCGGCTGCTCACCTCTGCTTTTTTTTTTTTTGTAAGATGAAATCAGACTAAATGGTTGTCAGTGGCCGATGGGTTCTGAGACTGAATTTAATCCTTTACAGGTTAAATCTCAGTTGAGATGATATAAACTCATCTGAACTACTTTTTCATTAGAAACAGAAGCAGAGCTGCAGAGTTGTCAGTTTGTCAGATGATGTCGTGTCAAGTTTGAGTTCTGTTTTTCTGCAGAGTTAAACTGAGTCTGATCTGAATTCATGGTTCAGTCACAGATGGTTTCTGACATCACAGTCACATGACCATGTGTCTGCTGTCACAACGTCTCTTCTCAGGGAGGAGCAACGTTAGCCGCAGGATTCTCTTCATCTGTCACATTTTATCACTTCATTCTGTTTCAGATGCAGAATTTTATTCTCACAGAAACTTTTCATAAAAGTGACAACGAGCTGTATTTGTTTAAATGTGAGACTATCTGAACACAAACAAGCTATAAAAACTGGTAACCCACTATATCCCATGGCCCTGCACTACAAAGAAGCTCAGCATGGCAGCAGCTATTCTTTGATAATCATAGGCATTGAACATATTGCCAGATCAATCAGGGGAGGAGACAGGTTAAAAAAAACTCTTACAAAGAGAATCCAGGACTAAATACAGAGTTGGGTTTTATTCCTTTTCTCTCAATGTCTTGTTTTTAGGATTATTGCTTATATTGGTAATCAGATGTGTTTTTGTTTTTTGATTGTACTGTACTTATGTGGGTTCCTTCTATAGAGATAGTGACTTATGGTCACCCTTTGAACTTTGTGGTCATGTGACTGAACCTATAAAGGAAGTAGCCTGACAGCCATTTGTAAATGCCCTGATGAAGGCCTGTATGGCTGAAATGCGTAGGCGTTTTTAAATGACTTATAAGGCCATTTAATAAAGGCTTTTTATAAATGTCCCTCTGACTTCCTCAGATTCTTCTTTTGAAAATGTCAAGACTGAGATTCCTGCACTGAAGTGCACCAGAGTTTGACCACACTTTTTGAAGACCCCTGCAGCACTACATGCATTTCTTTTTTCTAGCTGTGTTTGTTTGTTTGTTTTTATGTATGTTTGTTGGACACTGACTCGATGTGTGACTGTGGATCAACATTCAGACTAAAACAGAAACATTTCCCGCTGTGATCAGCTGATCTCAGCAAACTCACTGTGATCAGAGGTGAAGTGAAACTACACTGAGATCTGTCGTAAAGTTTTAACTTCAAACCGCTAAACAGCAGCACGCCAACACATCAGACCTCCGAGCGTACGGAGTCTGAAGCAGGACAAACATCTGTACTTATCCAGGTTCAGTAATGTCTGCTCCCGCAGCAGGTCTGCAGTCAGTCATCAGGGGTCGATGCTCATTTAACTCTGTAAACTTCCTGTTAATTAGCGGCCGAGCTAACAGGCTGCTAACTGCTGTTGGGAGAAGGATGATCAGGGTTTCCTGTTTGTGTTTGATGGAAGAATGAGGCAGCACTTCCTGTTTGTGACACAGAGATGAAACACGGAGGTGGACTCAGCTCGCTTATGATCTCTGATTGATGAACAGATCAATAACTACAAACAGTCACATGACACACCAGCATCCACCAGAGTCTTTAACTCTTTGATCCGTCCTGGTCTGACATCTGTCAGTTTATTGATCAGTTTATTAGTCAATGATGTTTTTGTTTTCTGCCATACAGAGGGATAAACACGTGCTGCTAACGTCCTGTCTGGCCTTCTGTTCAGGTCTCAGAGTTGTTGTTTGAGGTTTAGTCTCCAGTGATGATGATGATGATGATGATGACGAAGGTGTAGTTCAGTCCCTCTGGTCAGTGACTGATTGATAACTGTTGGACTCATTTACATGTAATCATGTAATCAATAACTGTCTGGTGTCAGTTTGTTTTGTTTCTCACAGCAGTTCACATAAAGTTTATTCTCTGTGTCCGTCAGAGAAGCGAGGGATGAGTGGAGGTAAAGTTTCTTATGGAGGAGCGCTGCTGCTGAGGACGGAGAGAGCGATGGATGACAACAAGCAGGTGAACTTCTCTGATTAAAACTTAACTCACTGCTGGAGGCAGAGCTAGATTTATGACGGCCCATCTGCGGCCTCCGGCTGTTTCATCTGATGATGATGAAACAACTGCAGTGTTGAAGCAGTGCACTAATACAACATATCGTTAGAAAGCAACGCTCGTCACAGAAAACCATGTCAGAGACGTCTATCACAGCAGGTTCAAAAACACGTCTGTCAGACCACCAGGTGTAACTCACGTGGGACGTCTGACTGTAATCCACAGACCAATATATTCCAACAGAACCTCGACGCTCTGATGCTCCTAAAGATCTGTCTGAGTCCAGCGAAATATTTTTACATCCTCAGAAAAAAAATCTTGGAAAACAAAAACACCTTGGAACCAAAATGGCGGCTGAACTCTAACCTTTTGATTGACACCTGACTTGAGCCAATAAGAGCATCCATGTCGTCTCGTGTGGATTTATCACATTTCCTGGTTTACAGTCAATCAGTAGGCAGAGACTGGTCTGTTTGGCCTGATAACTGATCTGTCTGATACACTGTGATGATTTATGATGATTCACTGTGTGTGTGTGTGTGTGTGTGTGTGTGTGTGTGTGTGTGTTTAAGTGTGTTGAGGTGCCTGTAGACAGAGGAGAGGAGGGAGACGAGGAGGAGGAGGAAAAGGAGGGAAGTGAAGAAGGAAGAAAAGAAAAACTTCCTGTCGCCTCCACACCTGTCCCAGGGTCGCCATGGTAACTGCTGCTCTGTTACACACACACACACACACACACACACACACACACACAGAGTTAACTGTTATTGATGATTGATGTTAACTGATGATGTCATTATGAAGTCATTTTGAAAACCAGCTCCTCTCAGTGTTTCTGATGTGAAGCTTTAACTCGTCTCGGCGGTGTTGTCATGACAACTGTGAACAGCTGCAGACCGTCACAGCGTCAGTGTTTGGTTGTCGTGTCGATGGATCAGTCACAGCACGGTCCTGCTGGAATGCCCCGCCCACTTTAGATCAGCGAACCTGTCGTGAGATGTTTAAAGCAACCTGATCTCACAGAAATATGTGAAATGACCACGACCTCTTAACACCGCATTCTGTGGTGGCAGCACGTAATGGGTTAAAATTATGTGCTGCCACCATGGAAACAATGCAATTGTAAAGTCAATTAGGATCCTCTCCCGTGGTGGACACACAGATTCCCTGATTCAATCACGTCACGTCAACAACTCGTTTTCCTCAATGATATCTTTAACATTCCTGTATACACACAAAAACACGGAAGTGTCCTTGATAACTCAACAATATGATAGGTTAATGTCAAGGCCATAAAATAAAATAAATGTATTTTGCCAGCTTTTGATAGCGTAGAGCTTTAAGAGCATTGTGCTGTTGGTGGATGGGGCGCATTCCACTGCTGTTTTGTAGCTACTGTCCGCTGTCTGTGGGCTTCATTCCATTTCAGATTGCCGTCCGTCTGTCATAACCGAATCCAAACGCCACTAATAAATAAATAAATAAGAAGAAAAAAATAAAGGCTGAGCACGGAAGAACCAGAGAGGAAACACCATCCGGGAACCCGGCCACCCTCCACTCCACCAGGGGAGAGCAGACCCCAAGCCAGCGCCACAGAACCACCGGCCGCCCCCCTCCCACCCCGCGGCGCACACGGCTCCCACTGAAGAAACACTGGAGTTAAGAACTAAACTATGATAAATAACATAAAATACATTCGTTATTAAATAAGTTAAAACATAAAGCCCACAGTAGATAAAGAACATGCTAAAAGTAAATACAATAATAGGCTAAATAGTATCTAAGCAATAATAAAGTGTCTAAACAATAATAAATAATATTCTATCTAAGTTATCTATTAGGCTACCATTCCACTCTGTAAATAGATTTTAAAATTTCAATATAATTTTAATATTATTTTTGCTTATTTCATTATTGTTATTATTGGTTTACTTTTTAGTAGTATTGTATTGTCTGAGAATGACTCATGTTAGTAACTATCTACAGTAAAAAAGAAACAAACAAAACACATTTTTTTATTTTTGTTTTCAAAGTGCTCTCTGAAACTACACCTGGCATGGCTTGTGTCCAAAAAATGAAAAAATCTAAACTTCGTCGTAGAGCTAAACCAAATACATCATTGGAAAGGTCTCAACCTGGAGAGTATCATATGTCAGTATGATGATTCTACATGGCTCCTGCTTTTAGCCATTGACCTTTGAACCTTGACCTCTGTGCATGTTTGCAGGCATATAACTCAGCAACTAAAGGGGGTACAGACATGGGACCAACTGTTATAGAGAGCTCTTGAACTCAGCTATCTTGTGAGTGTAGTCAACAACTGTGGGTGCTGTCAGATATGGGTAAAATATGGATAAAATTAATTTTCACCCATTTAGAAATTAGATATTTAAAATCTGATTTCACAAATGTGTTTACCATCCCCTTAAAGTCCACAGTGTACTCTCAATTCAGTATTTACAACTTCCAAATCTATGAAAAACACTTACATTTTTTAAAAACTACAATTCCCTGGGACCGTGCCATGCAGCTTGATACATATCAGCAACATAGTTCTGTAGTTCTTCTGATTTGCAAAGTAGGGTTCTAAATAGGGTTGTAAAAAAATACATCTACTGAATATATCTAATATCTAGTAAAGCCGAACTAGTAATGACACTGCACCTAGATGAACTATGTTAAGAAAAAGTAAAGATGTCTGCTAATTTTAGATATTTTAGCTAGTACTCTAGAAACTGCGTTTTTGGGACGGTAGGTTTTTTGCAGCTTGTAAAATAGAGTTGTAAAATAGGTTCGTAAAAAAATACATCTACTGAATATATCTAATGTCTAGTAAAGCCGAACCAGTAATGACACTGCCCCTAGATGAACTATGTTAAGAAAAAGTAAAGATGATGGTTAATTTCAGATATTTTAGCAAGTTCTCTAGAAACTGCGTTTTTGGGACTCCAGTTGTAGAGTTGTCAAATAGTGTTGGAAAAAAGTAAATCTACTGAATATATCAAATATCTAGTACAGCTGAACTATCATGTTGTTATTATTATTATTATTATTATTATTATTATTGGTGGGAAATTATAACAGAGGAATATATTTGCCGTTTTAATATCAAGAACACGTGTCATGTTTTTGTGTGTATACAGGACGTTGTTGAATCAGGGAATCCGTGTGTCCACCACAACAATGGATCCTAACTGACTTTACATTGTTATTGTTTCTGTGGTACTGGCATGTAATTCCAACCCATTACGTGCTGCCACCACGGAATGCGGTGTTAAGAGGTCGTGGTCATTTCATGTATTTCTGTGAGACGTTCTCCTGGTGTGGGGGGGTTGACCATGTACACATGACCCCATTTACCCAGCATGCTTTGGTGCCTGACTGATCTGTGTGTGTCTGTGTGTGTGTTCAGGTGTGTGGTGTGGACTGGAGACGACCGGGTCTTCTTCTTCAATCCCACAATTCACTTGTCTGTCTGGGAAAAACCGGGGGAGCTGATTGGTCGAGACATCAGCAGCATCATCGAAGATCCACCTCACAAGAGGAAGAAGACAACACCTGCCGGTCTGTCACCTCACCTGTCTGTCACCTCACCTGTCAGTCACCTCATCTGTCTGACATCTCACCTGTCTTTCATCTCACCTGTCTTTCATCTCACCTGTCTTTCATCTCACAAGTCATCTCACCTGTCTGTCATCTCACCTGTCTGTCACCTCACCTGTCTGTCACCTCACCTGTCTGACATCTCACCTGTCTGTCATCTCACCTGTCTGACATCTCACCTGTCTGTCATCTCACCTGTCTTTCATCTCACCTGTCTTTCATCTCACAAGTCATCTCACCTGTCTGTCACCTCACCTGTCTGTCATCTCACCTGTCTGTCACCTCACCTGTCTGTCATCTTACCTGTCTGACATCTCACCTGTCAGTCACCTCATCTGTCTGACATCTCACCTGTCTTTCATCTCACAAGTCATCTCACCTGTCTGTCATCTCACCTGTCTGTCATCTCACCTGTCTGTCATCTCACTTGTCTGACACCTCACCTGTCTGTCACCTCACCTGTCTGTCATCTCACCTGTCTGTCATCTCACCTGTCTGTCACCTCAGTCACCTCACCTGTCTGTCATCTCACCTGTCTGACACCTCACCTGTCTGATGAACTCTCTGTCTGTGTGTTTCTGACAGACAGCAGCTCCAGCTGTCAGTCACCTGGTTTTCATGGAAACGATGAAGATAATGATCATGAACACATTTCCAAGAGGAACAGGTGAGTCTGACGCAGCCAATCAGACCTTCTGACCTGCTGATGTCATCTTCATCGAGGGATTTCATTGGTTACATGATGAGTTCGAGATTCTCTCAGATAACACCTGTCTGTCTGTGTGTGTGTCTGTGTGTGTGTGTGTGTGTGTGTGTGTGTCTGTCTGTCTGTCTGTGTGTGTGTCTGTGTGTGTGTGTCTGTCTGTCTGTCTGTGTGTGTGTCTGTGTGTGTGTGTCTGTCTGTCTGTCTGTCTGTGTGTCTGTGTGTGTGTCTGTCTGTCTGTGTCTGTCTGTGTGTCTGTCTATCTGTCCGTCTGTCTGTCTGTCTGTCTCTCCAGAATAGAGGAGCCCATGTCTCTCATCCCTCGCCCAGGAGAAGTTAAGCTCCTCCCTTTGGAGCTTCGTATTGTTCACTTCAGGGAGATGATGCTGGAGAGAGGGGTAACACACACACACACACACACACACACACACACAAATATTTATATCAGGCTTCATCAGGTAAACGTCTCAACTGAGTCCGCTTCACTCTGAGACCTGACCACCGTCTCACTGTAACCATGGAAACAGACAACACTGTGATACTAAAGGAACAGTCTGAACCAGATGATAGTGTATGTGTGTGTGTGTGTGTGTGTGTGTATGTGTGTGCGTGTGTTCTGTATTTTGTGATGATGGTGTGTGTGTGTGTGTGTGTGTGTGTGTGTGTTCATGTTGGCAGTGTTGGGAACGTTACTTTAAAAAAGTAATTAGTTATAGTCACTCATTACTTTCACCAAAAAGTAACTGAGTTAGTACCTGAGTTACTGCACTATAAAAGTGACTAATTACCTGGAAAAGTAACTAAAGTGTTACTTTTTTATAAAATGTTCAAATATGTTAAATTGCTTGGACACCTCCTTTTAATGAAAGAAATAATAAATGAATGAAAGTAAAGAAGTTGCATGTAAGGAGCCATTTTACTTTGACTGTAACAGTGCTGGTATGCTGAACAAGATCTGAATGATGAGTACATGATGAGTGTGAAATACACAGAATCTGAATCTGCACACTGCCTTCGAATCGCCCCCCTCTTGAAGTCTAATCTTTTAATCCTCTCTCTTTCTACAAATCTTTATTGTATTCTTTCCATATTTCACCCACTTGTTGGTGGAAAAATTTAAAGAACCTCCATTAATCGCACAATTTAAATGTGAAAAGTCTCATTGACTGACCGTCACCTGTGCGTCACCTGTGACAGTTATCTTGGAGCCATCTTTACTGCTGATGGAAATACTCAAACCTCCTTGGATCTGCATGTAAAAGAGAAAACAAAGCACTTAAATAAATTAATTATCTTTGTATCGACTAATTATGATGCTGCTTTCTGTGTTAAGTTAAAGACTTTTGAGGCAGCATTTTCATCAGCTATTTTGTATGGGTGTGAGGCTTGGTTTAAGGCTTCCATTAAATCTGTTGAGTCTCTCTATATGACTGGGGTGAAATCCCTATTAGGGGTGAGGTCAACTACACCCAACCTGCTCTACCTGTTGGAGGCAGGACTACCTTCAGTGCAAGCCCTAGTGAGAGAAAAGCAAGGCAGTTTTCTTTTAACAAGGTAAAGCGGTGTCATGGCATGCTTGATGACCCTTTATACTATGTTTTCGAGTTAACAAGAAAGGAGAACCAAGTTATAAACTCATATCTATCTGAGATCATGCAAAGACAAGACTACATTGAGAGCAGGCGCAGGGAGATGATTGACGAATTACGAACTAAAGAGGGAACAAGATACAAGACCTACCAAACCATCAACCCAGACTTATCTGTTCATCCACTGTATACTACAAACACAGTTTATATTGAAGATCATTTGAGAATAACTTTTATATGCTTCCGGTTGTCCTCCCATAGATTGCGAGTGGAAATGGGAAGGTGGAGTCGTACACCACCTGAGCAACGAGTATGTTGCTGTAATACTGGCACACAAGATGAAAAACATGTACTGATGTGCCCTCGCACGAAGGATGTCCGTGCAAAATATGGACATGATTCCACTGAACTGAACTCTTTTTTTGTGGACATTGATAAAAGAACTTTATTTATGTTACAAGCTTGTCTCGCACTGTTGGAGGACAGGCAAGGTCCCAAAGAATGACTGTTTGGAGCTTCTGTATGTGTATTATTTTGGTTTCTTTCCTCCTTATTAGACGGATATATATAGAGAAAGGTGATGTTTAGAGAGCAAGCCCAAATAAGCAACTCCACTTTAGAAACAACACCAAAAAAACGCAACCCGCGACTGTACAAAAACTTGACTTTACAAAAAAACAAGCCCAAAGTCGCAGCTAATTAAAAGACCTGACAACCCTGCTTGTGTACTCGTGAATACCCGCCCCTACTCTGCCTCTGATTGGTTTAGGATGAAATTTTACTCTCCCTAAGCCAATCATCATCACTTATGCGGTTGTCTCTCCTTCCCTTCCCCCTCACCTGCCCTCACCAAAGAAAAAAACTTTAGAGCTCCGCTGAGAAGGAGCTTGCTTTGGTGAAAGCCACGGTGTTATAACAGGGGAGACAGTAACTTTTTTGATTACTCGTTACTGAAAAAAGTAGTGCCGTTAGTAACGCCGTTTATTTACAACGCCGTTATTCCCATCACTACATGTTGGTACCTGTAACCATCATTAATGTCTCCACCCTCAGGTGTCGGCGTTCTCAACCTGGGAGAAAGAGCTCCATAAGATGGTGTTTGACCCTCGATACCTGCTGCTAACCTCAGATCAGAGGAAACAGGTCTGAACAAACGATTTTATTCACACTGTGCTGATGTCAGCTGAGCAGCAGGTGATGATGTCATAGCTGTTACCTGTGTGTGTGTGTGTGTGTGTGTGCAGGTGTTTGATCAGTTTGTGAAGAGCAGGGTGAAGGACGAGTACAAAGAGAAGAAGGGTAAACTTCAGAAAGCCAGAGAGGAGTTCAAACAGCTGCTGGAAGAGGCCAAGATCACCAGCAGGTATCACTCATTCATTATTCACCACATCACTCTTAATTATTCAGCTGTGTTCCTGTCCTGACCTGAGTCCACCTCCTCACCTGGACCTGCAGGTGTTTGTCCACCTGTCACATCACAGAGGATCAAACTCCGGCTGACACCACACAGTTCGTGTTCTCAGCAGACTGATGGAGACCGAACATGTCTGAACGACGTCATCAGTTTCAGAGTCGACGTCTGGACTCTGTCTCTTGCAGGAGGCGCTGTCAGTTTGTGACAGTTCATGTACAAAGTGTTAAAGAGCTGAGTGGTTATTAAATACACCCTCAGCCAATCACATCCTGACTCTGACACACCTCAGCCAATCACATCCTGACCCTGACACAGCTCAGCCAATCACATCCTGACCCTGACACAGCTCAGCCAATCACATCATGACTCTGACACACCTCAGCCAATCACATCCTGACTCTGACACAGCTCAGCCAATCACACAAAGCGTGACATCAAACAGTAAAAAGTTCATGAACACGTAGACACGCGTTTGGTTAAATAGTGACTGATCAAAGTATTTTTAATGTCATTGTTTTATTTCTGTGTGTCGGCCGCGGCTGCTCTGCTGAGTGACATCATCAATGACATCAGAGTCTAAGAGACATTTTCCACCAAAACTGTTCTTCTCCAAACACCAAAACACAAAACAGTCAGATACAGTCTGAGCTCTGCTGGAGCCGCCACGAAGACACGCATGTAGTTTAATGTTGACACGTGTTCGTGTGTTTCCTGTTTTAGTGTTTTTTAAACATCACTGCTAAACCTTCACGTCAACGTCAGCTCAGCGTCGGAGCAGCAAACAGAAACCAGACGTCATTTGGAGTTTGGTCATAGTGTTGTCATGTTGTTTGTTATTTTGTTGTGTTGTTGTCATGTTGTTGTTTGTTGGTGCCATGTGGTTGTCATGTTGTCATGTTGTTTGTAGTTTTCATGTTGTCATGTTGTTGCCATGTTGTCATGTTGTTCTTTGTTGTTGTCATGTTGTTGTTTGTTGTTCTCATGTTGTTGGCATGTTATTGTTTGTTGATGTCCAGTTGTTGACATGTTTGCTGCCATGTTGTTGTCATGTTGTTTGTTGTGTGGTTGTCATGCTATTGATATGTTGTCATGTTGTTTGTTGTTGTTGTCATGTTGTCGTTTGTTGTTGTCATGTTGTTGTTAGTTGTTGTCATGTTGTTGTAATGTTTCCCTGTTATTGTCATGTTATTGTCATGTTGTTGTTTGATGTTTCCATGTTGCCGCCTTGTTGTTGTCATGTTATTTGTTGTGTGGTTGTCATGTTATTGTTATGTTGTCATGTTGTTTTTTGTTACTGTCATGTTGTTGTCATGTTTCCATGTTGTTGTCATGTTGCTGTTGATGTGTTGTTGTCATGTTATTGTAATGTTGTTTGTTCTTTTCATGTTGTTGTTATTATGTTGTTGATGTGTATATAAATAAAACTGATTGATTGATTGATTGATTGTTAGTTGTTTTCATGTTGTTGTGTTGTTGTCATGTTGTTGTTGTAATTAGTCATGTTGTTGTCATGTGTTTGTCATGTGGTATTTGGTTGTTGTCATGTTGTTTGTTGTCATGTTGTTGTGCTGTTGTCATGTCATTGTCATGTTGTTCTTTGTTTTTCTCATATTGTTTGTTGTTGTCATGTTGTTGTTGTGATGTTGCCGTATTTTGTTAATTGTTTTCATACAGTTGTGTTGTTTTCATGTTGTTTGTCGTTGTCATGTTGTTGTTTGTTGTCGTGTTTTAGTCCATTGTTGTCATGTTGTTGTTTGTTGTCTTGTTGCTGTCATGTTGTTGTTTGTTGTCATGCTGCTGTTGTGTTGTTGTTAGTTGTTTTCTTACTGTTGTCATGTTGTGTTGATGTCATGTTGTTGTTTGTTGTCATGGTGTTGTTTGTTGTTGTCATGTTGTTGTCATGTTGTTTGTTGTCATATTGTCACATTGTTTGTTGTTGTGTTGTTGTTGTCATGTTGTTGTTGTTTTTGTTGTTTGTTGTTGTCGTCATGTTGCAGTGTTGTTGCCATGTTGTTGTTGTGCCGTGTCATGTTGTTGTCATGTTTTTGTTGTGTTGTGTTCATGTTGTTGTTATGTTGCTGTAATGTTGTTGTCATGTTGTTTGTTGTCATATTGTCACATTGTTTGTTGTTGTGTTGTTGTTGTCATGTTGTTGTTTTTGTTGTTTGTTGTTGTCGTCATGTTGTCATGTTGTTGTCATGTTTTTGTTGTGTTGTGTTCATGTTGTTGTTTTCATGTTGTTGTTATGTTGCTGTAATGTTATTGTCATGTTGTTGTTTGTTGTTTCCATGTCAGTGTTTTTTTGTTGTTGTCATGTTGTTTTCGTGTTGTTGTAATGTAGTTGTCATGTTGTTGTTAGTTGTTTTCATGCTGTTGTGTTGTTGTCATGTTATTGTTATGTTGTTCTGTTGTTGGCATGTTTTTGTCGTGTCATTGTCATGTTGTTGTTTGTTGTTGTCATGATATTGTTGTGTTGTTGTCTAGTTGTCATTGTGTTGTTTTCATATTGTCGTGTTGTTGTCGAGTTGCTGTCATATTATTGTCATGTTGTCATGTAGTTGTCACATTGTTGTCGTGTTGTTGTTGTCATGTTGTGTTGTCATGTTGTTGTCATGCTGTTGTTTCTCTGCATGCTGCAGTGATTCAACAACATGCTGCTGGACTTGGCGGTGTCTCCACATCACCTGACCGTCACCTGTCTCTTTATGGTTCTCTGCAGATTGACCTTTAAAGAGTTCTGTGCTCGTTACCGTGGTGACCAGCGGTTTGATGCCCTCAATAGGAAGAAGGAACAGGAAGTACTCTTTCATCACTACATCACATCCTTAAAGAAACGAGACAAAGAGAACCGAGCCAGACTAAGGAAGATGAGATGAGAACACTGTTCTACAAACTATCTCAGAACCCTACAGAACCATCTAGAACCTTTGTAGAACCCATTCGGGACCTTCCAACACCTTTCAGGACCTTCCAACACCTTCCAGATCTTAAAAAGAAAATAAACTCTCTTATTCGACCATGATGAGCAGAACCTGTGCTGGTTCTCACTGATGACTCCTGGTTTCAAACTACTGGCTCTGTTAGAGCAACCAAACAAGAACCACAGAGACCAGACTGGATCATATGGGAGAACCAGAACCACAGAGACCAGACTGGATCACATGGGAGAACATGTCCCACTGGAGGATCTGAGTCGTTCTGACTTTTTGTTTGTGGTTATAAAGATTTAAAGATTTTCAAGGACCAACAGCATCTGACTGGTTTGTGGATTCTGGACTGTGGTGGACTGACGTCATCTGGACCTGCTGAACTGATCCAGAACTTGACTGAATCCGACTTAGATGTTTGGAGATCTGAGCCAAGTTGAACTGGTTAAACTGGACTTCAAAGAGAAGTAGAGCACAAAAAAGAGACGTCTGTTTATCTGTCTGTTTGTCCTCTGGCCCCACTGGACCAGTTAATCAACCAATCAATCAATCAACCTTCATTTGTAAAGCAAGTCTCAGACAGGTTAATGATTAACTGACGAGCTGATCAAACACTGAAATAACAGGAAGATGAGCAGACACCAGAAACTAAAAACAATTAAATAAGATCAATAAAAATGACTTAAAATAAAAAAATAAAGACAGTAACAGATAAATTAACCTCTGACCTCTGACAGTAAACCATCATGTGTTCAGAATAATAACAGATTACATTAGGCTAGAAATAGGCATCATGGCAGGGTGTACAATTTCTCCATTAGCATTTACTATGGCAATGGAAGTAATCATTAGGGCTTCTAAGTGGGTGG